ATCATCATTCTCAAAACATTTGCTTCCTACTTGAGCCCTAAATATCAGCTCCTCATTTTCCCCCTCCCTCCCCCTCCCTCATGAACCCTTCATAATTCATAAATTATTATTATTTTGTCATATCTTACACTGTCCGACGTCTCCCTTCACCCACTTTTCTGTTGTCCATCCCCAAGGGAGGAGGTTATATATAGATTCTTGTAATCAGTTTCCCCTTTCTACCCCACCTTCCCTCCACCCTCCTGGTATCGCCCCTTGCACCACTGGTCCTGAAGGGATCATCGCCCTGGATTCCCTGTGTTTCCAGTTCCTATCTCTACCAGTGTACATCCTCTGGTCTAGACAGATTTGTAAGGTAGAATTGGGATCATGATAGTAGGGGGAGGAAGCATTTAAGAACTAGAGGAAAGTTATATGTTTCATTGTTGCTACCCTGTATCCTGACTGACTCAAAATCCCATTATCTTTGGACTCCATTTTCCACAAATATTTTTAAGCCCACTTATATACTTAGGAATGGAATTGCAGAGTCAAAATTCTACGCTAAATATTTGAGGAATTGCCAAACTGTTTGCCACAGTGACTCCATCATTTTGCATTCCCACCAGCAAGGCACAAGTGTTCACTCACATCTTCACCAACATTTCTTACTTTCCTTTTTACTATTTTGATAGCTATCTTAGTGAGCACGAACTCATACTTCACTATGTTTGGATTTATATTTCTCTAATAACTAATGATATTGAACACCTTTTCATTCTCTTACTGGGTATTTTGTGCAACTTCTTTGGGGAAATGTCTATTCAAGTCTATTGCCCATTTAAAAAAATTGGGCTGTCTTTTTGTTTAGCCATTGAAACTTATGTCAAAATTCATCTCAAAGCTTAGCAGCTTAAAACAACAAGTATTTATTATCTCACAGTTTTTGTTGTTGTTGTTGTTAGGTGCCACTGAGTCAGTTTTGACCGACATTGATTTCGCTTCCATGTGTACCCCTGAACTGGGGACAGGATCTAGGTTTCCCTAGGCTGTTGACTGGAGACATCAATTCGAGTAGCTCCATAGGCGTACACATAGCTCACATCTGACTTACTCCAGAGGGAGGCAGTGGAGAGACGAAGAGAAAGGGAGAAGTCATCATTTTTTGGCTGCCCAACTTCAGACAGATCTCATCACATTTACCATATTCGAAATAGTTAAGGTATGTGGCTGTTGACCTAAAGGCCAGAAGATTGAGTCTGCCTAGGTGCATTTCAGAAGCAAGGCCTTGTGATCTACTTCTAAAAAAACCAAACAACCAGTCATTGAAAAGCTCACTGAGTGAAGTTTGACTCTGACACATGTGGGTTTGGCAGGAGTAGCAGGTGACTTGATGCTGGCGAGCTCACCAATGGGAATAAGGTTTTGAGTCAACCATTGTGGTTGTACTGAGTTGATTCTGACTCATGGCAATCTCATACATGAAGAGGAGAACTGCGCCACTGGGTTTTTAAGGCCTTTCAGAAAGATCACCACACCGATGTCCAACGTTCTTGTGGGATCCCTTCATTTAGTAGTAACGTGCTTAAACATTTGTATCCTATAGGGAGTCATTGAGGGAGCCACAAAGGCGGCTTTAGGAATGTAAATGTGTGTGTGAAAAAGTGGGGATCTGATCTGGTCAGGAAGGCCTCCCTGAGACTCTGTAGGAAAGGTGGGGCACAAAAGCATATTTCAGGAAGAGGGGACAGGATATGCAAAGACCGTGGCGAAACTAAGGAACATCAAAGAGGTTGAGGTTGGAGCCCAGAGTTAGGAGGAAGGTGGCTGGGATGGGAAGGACATCTGGGCATGCCTGGATAAGGATGTAGATCCTGGATGCATAGGGAATCCACTGAAGACTTTGAAGTGGCTCTGCATTGTAAAGGGGTTGCTTTGGCTTTTGGGTGGAGGAGGGACTTTTGATGGGAGCAGGGAATACAGGGGTCAGAGGTGTTCGTAGCTTAGAGGGTGAGAGGTGAGTAAAATTTGGAGACAAATTTGGAATGTGAAACTGTCAGGAACCGGGCCATTGTTAAATGGTTATAACACTTGAAACCTACACCAAATGGGAAATCACCAAATCCTTGGAGGCAGCTACTTAGCTCCCACCTAATAGGACCAACCAAAGCCCAACGATGGTCCTTGGTTTTGGGAAAGCTACCCTTTGTGCCCCAACACTGTTTTCCCACAAATCCTCCATAGTGAGGGATTTATGAAGGCTCACCATGGGCTGACTGGTGGACGAGGATAGCTCTAGGTCATTTCTCTCACATTGACAAAGGGCTGTGATGAGTTCCAAGTGCTTTGCTTTGAACATGACCCTGAGCATAGCATTTAGGGCACCAAATATCTAGCAAGAAGCAGAGGAGGCTCTATAAACTTCCAGATGTTTCTGAAGACCCACAAGTTGCAGCAGCCATAAAAGTGTTTGAGATGCATACAGATAAAGGAGACTCCTTTGCCCTTCAGCTGTTCGTTTTTTAGCATTTCAAGTCAAGATGAATGTGGTCCCAAATCAGACTTTCGGGGGGAATGATAGCAAAACACCTGTATGTAAATGGTGAGAAATCCAGATACTTTCAAAGTGGAGAACGATTGCAACAATCGAGAAACCATACAGCTTGCAGACTAAAATTTTCAGGCTTTGCCCAGATGGCTACGGTTTGGAGGCTTCAGATTTAGCTCTTGTCCGTATAGTCTTCCTGGAAGTCTGACATAACAGCTTCCTGTAGAGGCAGCCAATTGGGATCGCTGAAATGAAAAACTTGTATAATTATAGCCTTTTTCTTCTATAGTGGCTCCCTCAATGTTCTGTCCTGGGAGCTTTGCTCTCTAGCATATGTAGGGCATGAGAAGTACTGTCACTTCTGGTGGTATATTTACCCTGATCATCTTCCTCTGAACTTCAGACACACTCACAGGATCCACTGAAGGAAGCGAAGAGAAGGTTTTGAAGAGAGAAAACGAACTCCAAGGATTTTAAGAAAAAGTGGCAGAGAAGCACACATCCAGCAGCCTAGTGACCCAAAAGGTGTGATCTTCTTTTGTTCTCTATATTCTCCTGGCAGCCAGAAGTGTAGCTGCCCTTTCTCTCCCCTAGAAGCTGGTGATACCACTCTGTGCACAGTCCCTGCTCTGCCGGAGGTTGGAAGCACACCTTCATGAATCAGGCACTGGGTCTATGCTGCCCAGAGTTTGGTGGAAAGTGCTTTCTGTCTCCTTGGGTGAGCAGGGTCTGCAGTGCTGGATGACCGCCCTGCCCCTAGCAATACCTGGCGAGAACTCCTTCAGTTACCAAAACTCCCTCTAGCATCAGGCACATTGACCTCAGCTGCCCTCTGAGTCAGCAGGAACTTATTTTGGGACCAAGTGCCCTGCTCCCAGCCACCTGGGTTAACAGTTACTCCATCCACGATTCAGCATGCTGAGCCATCAAGGGAACCCTGCCCCATGTTGCCTCTAGTCTAACTGGGTACTCTGTCTGCTCCTTGTTTTCTTCTTTCTTCTGCTGTTTCCCTACACCAGCTGACATTGCAGGGTAGACACTGGGATGCTGGCCAATTGCTCTGTGGGAGAATTGGTGTTGCTGTCTGGTCCCATAAAGATTTTCAGCCTCAGAGACCCTACATAGGGTCACTATGAGTAAAAACCGACTCAAGAACAGTGGTTTGGGGTTTTTGTAGGTTTGTTTTTTGTTTTTTCTCTCCCCTCTTTCCTGGTGTGTTAGGCTGGGCTGACTAGAGAAACAAATCCAGAGACACTCATATATGTTTAAGAGAGAACTTTATATCAAGAAGTAATTTTGTATCAATAAAACATCCCATCCCAGTCCAGATCAAGTCCATAAGTTTGATATTAGCCCATAAGTCAGATATAGCCCATGAATTTTTCTTGAGACTCATGCTGCACATGTGGTGATGCTGAATGCAGGAAGATCACAGGCCTATAAATGAAGTCTTGTGGATCCAGTGGTGTTGGAAGCATCTCCAGGGCTCTGGCTGCCATCAGCATGGCTCCATGTGGCTTGCCAAAAGAAATGTGAAGCAGAGAGAGAGAGAGGGGGGGGCAGGCGCCTCTTCTGATAAAAGAATCAAGAGAAAGAGAGCTCCCAGAATCCTCATGAGAAGGCCACGCCCACAAGGAGGGATCATCAGGCTGTGACCTGATTGACAGGCTAAACTCCACCCCTTCATTCTACATGAAATTATGTAACTACATCTGGTTTCTTTTCTTTTTGTTTATTTCTCTTTTCTTTGCCCTTCCTTTTTTTCATTCCTTCTTCTGCATATCTTTTATTTTTCCTGTTCCTTTATTTTCTTTAACACTCTCTTTTGCTTTTCTCTTCCATAATTTTCCTTTTTCTTTGCTTTCTTTTTTAACAATTTTCATCATTACATTCATTTTGCTGTTGTAGTTTTTCTTGTTGTTTGCTTTTCCCTTCATTATATTTTGTTTTTAATGTTCTTTTTGACTTTTCTCCCTTTTTGCACCCGGTGAAGACAACAACCATGTCTTCTCTAGCCAATTACCTCAGACAACCCCAGAACCTGGAAAACATGCTCAATAATAGATGGTTATCAAGATCAGGACAGTCCACCCATAACTATTCTACACAACTACAGAACAGAGATCTGTTTACACACTCTCGTCTATCACACTCATCATCAAAAGAGAAGTGGTGAGTGAACTAGTTCTTCCAAGATAGTGAGCAGAGTGGAACACCTGGAACTCTTTCAAAAATACCAAGGAGGAAAGAAAGGAGGGAAGGAATAAGGATAGAAGGGAATGAAGGAAAATAAACCTGGACAAAACACACCCACATACACCCACCAATTAAATCCAGTAACATCACAATGTCTCTGAGACAACAACAATCTAGTTCTCTGGAATAAAGAAGACAGAGTTGACCGTGCCTTCTCGAAGCTCTGGTCCTCGCTCCTTCAGCTGATTCCAGACTCCGCCCACCACATCTACTGGACATGGACCTCAACTGCTCCTGCGCCACCAGAGGCTCCTGCACCTGTGGTGACTCCTGCAAATGCAAAGAGTGCAAATGCACATCCTGCAAGAAAAGCTGCTGCTCCTGCTCCCCTGCCGGCTGTGCCAAGTGTGCCCAGGGCTGCATCTGCAAAGGGGCATCGGACAAGTGGAGCTGCTGTGCCTGATGGGGGAGAGCCCTGCCCACCTGTAAATAGAGGCCCACTTGTACAAAGCTGGAGTTTCATTTTTTCATACAACCCTAGATGTTTCCTACAATCTTTTTCCTATAAAATATATGAAAGATGATAATAAAAGTTGGTGACAAAAAAAAAAAAGAAAAGAAGACAGAGTGGTTCAAATGGTGACCCAAACACTCAGCCAGAAAACTTTCCCAAGGAAAAAATCATATTGGAATTACCTGATAAAGAATTCAAAAGAATATTAGACACCTTCAATAGAATGAGAAAGATAAAAGTGACCACTGAAAAAAGTCAAAGAAAACGCAGACAAAGCTCTAGAAAATTTCAGGAAAACACTATAAGAACTGAGGTAGTTAGTTTATTGTGCCAACCTGGCCGATAAACACAGGTGGGGTAAATTGAAGGACGGAGAGATAAATGGCTCAGTGAGCCTCGCCTTTCTAGTTCTTGGGTCTTTTGCTTTGTGATGGTCGGACCAAGGTGCAACTGCTTTATCCAGTTCCCTGCTTTAGCTGGCAAGGCTCACTTCCTGAAAGACATCCCCAAGGAGAAGCCATATGGACTTACCCAACTCTTGGTACCATAATGTATTAGTCTGGGTACTTTAGAGAAACAAATCCAATGAAACTCATGTATAAGAGAGATTTTTATATAAAGGTTAAGTGTGCATCAAGAAAACATCCCAACCCAGTGTTGCCCAAGCCCACAATGTCCAACACCAACATATGTCCAACACCAATCCACAATGCCCTCCTCCATCACACAAAACAGACGCAATGATGCCGACTACAGGAGAAAAGCCGAGTCAGTGGGCTTGGGCAGCACTGGGTTGGGATGTTTTCTTGATGCGCACTTAACCTTTATATAAAACTCTCTCTTATACATGAGTTTCTGTAGATTTGTTTCTCTAAAGCACCCAGACTAATACAAGAACTAATTGATAAAATAAATGAAAACTCAGAAATCATGCAAAACTGGCAGATTAGAAAGCCAGAAGATGAAGACAATGATTACATATATACACATCGAAAGGGAAAAGAAGTAGAATTGTATCAAAGGAAGACATAGTGAGACTAAAAACAATCTTTCAATACTAACAGACAAACTGAAAAGAACAAAAACATAAAATTTTAAAAGCCTCAGAATTAGATGGACATTATATGAAGGAATAATTTACATCAGAAATCCAAATCAGGAAAGGCCAGATAAATTCACTACCATCTTTCTCTCCACAAAACAGGAAGAGACCAACAAATAAAACAAACATGGAGGAAACTTATTGACGATTTAGCAAAAGAAAACGTTCCCAATAGTGTAAAAGATGAAAAGATATGCATTCAAGAATTCCAATGGACTACAAGCAGGATCGATACCATAAGAAAATCACCAAGGTATGTAAAAATCAAACTTGCAAAAGCCAAAGTCAAAACCCAGATCCAGAAAATAGCTCATGGAAAGTCAAAAGTCACCCAGGAAGGAGAATCAGTAAGAATAAGCTCTGATGGGTTGGCAGAAACCAGGCAAAACGCAATGGGTTTACACATAGAAAACTCCAAAAGAAAAAGGAAAAAAAAAAAGCCAACCGAAATGATATACCCAGGAGTATTGCCTCTTGAATGTGATAGTGAAATGAAGATATTTCCAGATGAAAAGAAATTAAAATGTGTGAGAACCAGATTCACTATATTAGAAATACCGAAGAGTTTTTTTTTGGACAGAAAACCCACAAAAAAAGCACCTAGACACTTATGTGGAAGTTTACAAAATAAAGCAACTCTACAAGTTTGAAAATAGGAAATCAGCAGTGGCAAATTTTAGATGATGAAAACAGAAAGGGAAGGAATAAAAAGTGTAGTTACAGAACTTTCAAATGGAGAGGAATTCTGACAATTTCATGACAAAACAAACTGTTTTTAACTTGGGAAAAATAATTCACAAAGTAACTTCTCTTTTTTTTAATTAAATATTTTTATTGGGGGCTCTTACATCTCTTTTCACAATCCATACATTCATCCAGTGTGTCAAGCACATTTGCACCTATGCCACCATCATCATTTTCAAAGTATTCTCTTCCCACTTGGGCCCGATAGCAGCTCCTCATTTCTTCCCCCTCCCTCCCCTCTCCCGCCCCCTCACGTATCCTTGATAAGTTATAGATTGTTATTTTCATATCTTACATCGTCCTCCGTGGCCCCTCACCCACTTTTCCAATGTTCGTTCCCGTAGGAGGGTGTTATAGGTTGATTCTTGTGATTGATTCCCCTTTTCTCCCCAACCCTTCCCTAATCCCCTGGTATCTCTACTCTCATTGTTGACCCTGGGGGGTTTATCTATCCTGGATTCCCTGGGTTGCAGGCTCTTATCTATAGCAGTGTGCATGTTCTGGTCTAATCAGATTTTTAAGATAGAATTGAGGTTATGATAGTGGGGGGAAGGAAGCACCAAAGAGCTAGAGAAAAAGTTCTGTGTTTCATCTGACTGGCTCATCTCTTCCCTTTGACCCCTCTGTGAGGGGACGTCCAATTGTCTACAGATACACATTGGGTCTCCACTCCATACACTCCCCACCCCTCCGTAATTCACATTGGGTATGATTTTGTTCTAGGTCTTAGATGCCTGATACCTGCGTCCATCGACACCTCATGATCACACAGGCTGGTGTGCTTCTTCCATGTGGGCTTTGTTGCTTCTCAGCTAGATGGCCACCTGTTTATCTTCAAGCCTTTAAGACCCCAGGTGCTATATCTTTTGGTAGATGGGCATCACCAACTTTCTTCACATTTGTTTATGCGCCTGCTTTGTCTTCAGCAATCATGTCGGGAAGGTGAACATCGCAGAATGCCAGAGTATTAGAGCAAACTGTTCTTGTGTTGAGGGAGTACTTGATTCGAGGCCCAGTGTCCATCTGAAACCTTAATTCTTAACATATAGATATGAATACATAGTTCTACTCCCCTCTCATTATATATAATATATTTGCATATGCACTTGGCTTATTTAGACCTCTATAAATGCCCTTTGCTCCCGGTTCTTTCCACTGTTTCACTTCACTTTCCTCTTGTCCCACCATCATGTTCAGCCTTCATTCGGGTTTAGTAATTCCTCGCTGCTACATTGCCCATGATCAAGCCCCACTATACATCCTACACCCTTCTCTCCATTGATTTTAGTTCACTTGTTGTTACCTTGCCCTTGGGTTGGTCCCCGCCCTTCCTTTCTCCCACCTTCCCTTCTCCCGTATCCTCGCAGAAGCATTGGTCCTGTTCTTTTCATCTCCGAATTGTCTATCCCGTCTATTATATCCAGGTAGACATGCAGAGACATTAATAAGCACAAAAAACAGGCAAAGCCAAACAAAACCACAAAGGAAGACCAACCAAAGAACAACAACAAAAAGAAAGCCACTGACAAAAATGGAAAAGCCTATAAATCATTCAAGGTCTGTTTGTTGGCCTCTACGAGTGTTTTCCAGTCAAGTCTGATGGGGTGCCACACTCTGTCTCCAAAGTCTATTTTTGGTATTCCCCGGGGATTTCATCACTTTGCTCCCCCTTGCTGCTCTGTTGCATGCCCTTAATGTTTCACCCCAGCGTGCTGGGGTCAGATTGTGCACAATTCTCATAGTGTGTCTCCAGTGCTGTCCCCTGAAGCGCTATGGTATAGTGAGGGACATGGTGTCTCATGGTGGGGTGGCCCTATGGTCCTCCCTGTGCATGGTCTGCTCTGAGCAGGAATATTGTCCTCAGGGCTTGGTGGGCCAGGGTGTGCTCCCCTCCCTCTCCCTCCCTCTTCATTTCTCCTGTGTGCTCTAATCAAACATGCCCCTCTCCCCAAGCTCTAGCCCCAGTGCTGTCCTCTGAAATGCATTCTTCTGAGGGGGAGGGGTGTCCACATAGCTGGAATTGGGGCTGTCCCCAGACCTCTCTATTGGTTCCCTGGTACATACCATTATGTTGTATTCACGTCTTGGTGCATTAGATTGAAAGCTGGTCTCTGTCTCCCTCTCCTGTGGAGATATAAACAATACCCTCCCCTTGGGTGGGTTAGTGCCCTGCTCTCCCCTACCCATGTCTTTTTCCCACCTCTTTCTTTCCCCTTCTTATTTAGTTGGCTGCCGTATGTATCCCTGGATTGAGTTTGGCCCCTGCCATAGTAGTTGAACCTCACCCCAGGAATATATGTATATAGTAGCTTTACCCCTATGTTCCATTTTTCAAGCTTACTTCAGTGGACTCATGTTGTACTTGTCCTTTTGTGCTTGGCTAACTTCACTTAGCATGATTTCCTCCAGTTCTTCCCATGCAGCAATGTGCTTCATGTTTTTATCACTGCTCTTTTAGGGATTCATAGTACTACATTGCATGTATGTACCATAGTCTTTTGATCCATTCATCTGTTGATGGAAATTTGGGGTGCATTCAACTCCTTGCAATTGTGAACTGTGCCGCGATGAACATTGGAGTACAAATGTCTGGCCATGGTTTGTTTCTTGCCTCTTCTGGGTATGTGCCCAGTAGGGGGACTGTTGGGTCATATGGTAGCTCAATCTCCATCTGTTTTAGATTTTTCCAAATCGATTTCCATAGTGGCTGTACATACCTACAGGTCCACCAGCAGTGGATGAGAGTTCCTGTCTTACCATAGCCTCTCCAACACTTGTTGCTTTCTGATCTTTTGAATTGGGCTATCTTTGAGGGTGTTAAGTGGTATCTCATTGTTGTTTTAATTTGCATTTCTCTTATAGGTAATGATTGGCAACATTTTCTCATATGTTTATTAGCCATTTGGATTTCTGCCCCTGTGAAACTTCTGTTCAGGTCCTTTGTCCACCTCCATAGTGGACAGTTAGTTTTTTTTCTTATTGTAAGCTTGCAAAGCATTGTAGATTTTAGTAATAAGGCCTTTGTCTGATGTGTCATTACTAAAGATGTTTTCCCAGTCTGTGGGCTCTCTTATTACTCTCTTGGTGAATTCTTTTGATGTAC